TTGAAAATCTTAAATATGTAAATATTCACAAGTTCAATATTGATCACAATAATATGGCCAGCATAATAAAATATCTGAAGCAATATAATGAACCGCATAATAAAATATCTGAAGCAATATAATGAACCTTGAAAATCTTAAATATGTAAATATTCACAAGTTCAATATTGATCACAATAATATGGCCAGCATAATAAAATATCTGAAGCAATATAATGAACCTTGAAAATCTTAAATATGTAAATGTTCACAAGTTCAATGTTGAACACAATAATATGGCCAAAATAATGCAATGACTGAAGGGATATACCCGTAATAACAAATTAGATGAATAAAATATGTAGACAATAATAAGTAAAAGTTCCTACCTAGGAAGTAGTTAATAAATGTAATTACAAAATATACACTGAATCCTGACATTGATTCTGCTCCTCGGTGTTTTACACTGAATCAGGTAACCTGAATACTGCAAGTCAAGTATAAAGTAAATTCACTTCTATCTTACCCACATATAAAAACGAACCATTTGAGTCGGAAAAGAATTTCCCACACAATTCTTGATTGAAATCTAATTATTTTCAGATAGAGGGCAGAATGAACTCTGACCATCTTCTGACAATGATGTTCTAATCTACTGGGAAGAAGGAAACAGGTCTCCAAAGCAAGAAAGAGATGGAGCTCAAGATCAGAATAGGTTTCTTGTACGTAATCCGACTGTAGGTGACAATGTTATCAACAAATTACTCAAAACCAGAGGTTTGAGACAAGAGCATGTGAAGGCATGTTATTTGTAGTTACTTTTCACCAGGGTTACTTTCTCCAACTTATGAAACAACTATTGATGCTCATGTGAGCAATTGGAATATATTATTCCAGTAATAAGGAAATATAATAGTAAACTATCTAAGATAGCTCAGGCCTTTACACATATTAAATTTATCGAAGTTGACACAAATAGGAATAATTTTACAAAGCATGAACTACATGTCAATAAGTTTGGTAAAGCTCACCTTGCAAAACAGATAGCATCTACTGTTCAGCTATTACTAGGAAAAAAGTCAAGCTCTCCTCTTGTTTTGGACTGGCTGTTTGATATAACAGTGTATAACGACAAAGTTGCTGCAGACATTTCTTTCGTGACTGATGCTATCCAAAATAAGAACACTAATATGTTAGTGGCATGTAACGACAACAGATCTAATAGAACTTCAAAGAGAGTCAAGAAACTTCCTAAGACAAGAACGAGAGATTTTTTATGGCAAATATAAATTCTAAAGTTATAAATGATTCATCCATCTTACTTCTGTCAAACTTGAAAGGAAATAAAAACAATAATGAGGTTGGCATAAACAAGTCTAGTCAAGAATGTATAAAAAGAAAT